TGACTCTGTTGGGACTTATCAATTGATGGCCTACAGCGGCTCGGAATGACCGTCTGAAGCCCTCAAAACAGCTTGCATAGCGAGCATCAAATTTGCAACAAAATGTCTGTTTTATTACATCTGTCAAAAAGAATCGAAAATCTGGCGAACAAAATAACAGCTACTTTACCACGGCGAATTCGCACACCAAACTCACATGGGCGCAACTAAAGGACAATGATATGCATTTCGAAGCACATCACGCAGTACACAAAGCACCTGCGGACGATATCACTACTGTCCTGTGCTAAGGCCTTGATCTTAAAGCACGGAATTGGTTAATTAGTGTAAACACATGATCTAGGTGTCCTACCTGGCGGGTAACCTGTAGTCTGATTCACCGACGGACGGTCGGTAATAATTGCGTCGGAGTCGAGTTCTACGAACGTCAGCTGCGTTTGTTCAGTAGTCGCAGCTGGGCAGTGAATAATATATTGAATTGGTTGTTGGCAGACAGTATAGACAGGTAGACCGTGATTCTATGAGAAAGTAACAGTAACTCGTGAGCAGAATCAAGGAAAGGCTTACGGTTAGATTTCACCTTGGGCATTAAGCAACACAGGATGGCACAGAAAGGGCAGTGTGCTATCGGACAAATTAAAATGTTATTCAGTTCAAAGTGGGGCAAAAGTTCAAAAACAAGCCCAGAAAAGAATGTCAATAAATCGGCCATAAAGAAACGGTTGATGTGGAGTCGACTTTGTATAAAATAGAACAGGTCTGTCCTGAAACTTCAGCAATCACCGGAAGGGCAATGAATTAGCCCGAGGTATAGGGAAACAAATAATTACCTCACTTAATTAACAATATCTCTTTGGTCTACGGGAAATAAGTGCATATTGATCCTTTCCAGCCTGTCTCTGGGGCACTTTTGCGGGCAAAACAAATGATTCTAATTACGATGGGTCTGAAAGCATGGAGTTTGGCTGTCGATGCGCTGTCATTTACAAAAAACAATGCACTATATTTCAGCGGCCCCCACTCGGTCACGTAGGTTTTGTGTTGAATTGTACATCTCGTTTCCCCACTATGCACCCATTAGAAAGGGCCACTGGCTGTTTCGTTTGCTTTGTCCATGAACAGACCTATTTGTCACAAACCCAGAATCAATGTCGAACATTCAGCACCAAGCTCTGATCAAAATCGAAACAAGGTCCCCCGTGTGTTGAAATCAGCCCCGCTGTTTGCCACTGTTAGAACAGTCCCCGCAATTAGCTTCTAACCTGCAGGATTTATTTCGCTCACAACCAAATAAAAGAGTTTTTCTCAAGGCATATAATCGAATTATATTTCAAAACCCTTGATCGCTACAGTCATACGTGTCCAAAAGCAGGAAATTAATGTTGATGATTTTTTAGCCGTGCTGAATGTTAAAGCAGATTCGAGAGTTGATCAAACTTTAATGCTTTTAATCCCATTGCCTTTGTAGGTAAGTCAGTTCGGCGTAAGCTGAGAGCAAGATCAACCTTCAATGCCTATGAACCTAGTCCACAGCTATGGTGCTTCCTTTGACCTTATGGACAAAGCGGTCTCATATACAAATCGTATGTGACACAAGTTGGGCAAACAGCGTTTCTGTCATCCACTGAGTTGAGCAATATACACCATCTTGTTCATCCCTTACGAAACGTTCATATCACGGTTTGTCCAATCTTGACAAAATCACCCGAGGATTGAAGATGACTGCATACCGATGACCGAGTGTCATGCACAACAAATATCTCTGGCCACAGGATCTACATAACTGATGAGGCACCGCCCCAACCCGCCAACTATGATTGATTGCGCGATGACAAGATACTGCTGGTTTAGTGAGGCCCGAGCATATTAGTTGAGACGGTCTGCGTGATGCTAACTCGATCAACTGTTCTACCAAATTTTCAACCCATTTTAAATAGCTCACATTTTTGTCATCGGTTATCATCATGGGTTTGGCAACGAAAAAGTACAAACAGCCTTTCCGGCTTGTCAGGAATTGCTTGGATTTTGCGCCCTGTCGATGACCAAGAAGACGGAAAACTATGCTGTCGAGTTGATGGTTACTCTAACAAATACATACTAATACACAGTTAGAGGTGGTGTATACACCCACTGATCAAAGGATGATATCCTCGGCTTCAACGTTAGCGGGTTTATTCTGATAGTGCTAGGTACCGATCCCCACAGTAAATGACCTCAGAGTTGTTCTTATCCAAATGTGTCGAAATCATGCGAGTTTTGTCAAATTTCTTTTGCAGTCCTTGATTTGATTCGGAGTACGTTAACCATATTCAAGTATAGGTCTGTTCAAAGCCACTTCATTCATGTGAATAACTTTGTCAGTTGAAGCATCACGATTTGTGGCATAAGTGGCAGACTTAATTGTGCGTGGCCGACATGCTGATAACTATGTCAAATGACTGCCCCAAGCAATGCTTTTTCTAATGGTATTTCTGCTAAAATGCCCGCAATACTGAGTTGTCACAAGAGACGTTTCCGGTAATATAGTTACGTACCCTTCACATGGTCACTCATTTTATGATCATGCAGCGTAGCATTTTTAAAAGTTGATATATCCTTCGGGTTCACAAGATCTTAGTTCGCTTACCACGAAGAAAACGTAAAATAGAAGTATTTGTTCACTCACGAATCTCGGTAGAAGCATTATCAACGCGAACTAGACTCAGGTAAAACATTTAATCCGTCGGATAGACCATTAGTTTTAATTAGCTTGAAAGTATCACAGGCGTATCAGACTTTCATTCGCTGGCGTTATAACCTCCGAATGGATGAGATCAGATATATAAAGTTATGTCAAACTCCTACCAGTCTTCAACCATAGGATACCCAGTTTGCTTGAAGTACGAATCCGTTCATAACGTATAAATTTCCTCCTGGGTTACTGGTGGTTCAACAGATCCATAAAAGCGCTATTTTGTCCCCAGTTTGCCCAGAAATTTCAACATTGTCACCACAATGCAGCTAACGGATTTTCAGCACTGATCTAATGGGCTCATATACATGCGGATTTGGCAAATTGACTGTTACTATATCCACCGCTTTGTCGCTCACTTCATCAGGCATTTCAGCACCGGGTACGTACTGTGGAAAAACATCTTCTGGCAGTTTAAATTTGGTCACCTGCGGTCTCAACAGTGGATGTGAAGCGTACAAGGAGGAATGGTGCAGCGTTTAGCCTTTCAACGTTGGGGCTGATCCAACAAGTCAGAAACATTCCGCTTATCAACGAACTTGCCTGCGCGATAGGTGACNCAGCCGCGTTCTAACTAAACGTTGGGGCTGATCCAACAAGTTAGAGACGTTCAGCTTATCAACGAACTTGCCTTCGCGATAGGCGATATGAGTCACTGTTATGTAAACGTACTTGATATCCAGGCAGACATCTAGCTGTGAATTGCCAAATCCCCATGGAAATCTCGCCCATCTCCTTGTTTGTTGACACCCCTTTGAGTTCATAGGAATGATTCCACCTGAGGAGTTTATTATAGTCTGTGGTATATCAACTGCCTGTGGGTTAGGTGGCTACTGAACATTTCGGTGAAGGGAGACATTCGTTCACAATTTGTCCGATAATAAAAAGGGGCATTGCCTTGTAGTTGCTTACCTCACTTTCCGTTAATTTCGCACTGATTCCTATGTATAAATTTGTGAAAATGTGGTATTCTACCAATCCCCTGCGGTTTCCTCAAGAACAGCACAGAGAAAAAACAGCTGAGCAACCGCAATTTTTACATAAAAAGATGCCAAAGCACTGCAGCGACCAACAGAAAGATCTCTAGAAACCTGGAGCCCATTGGATTTAAAAGGGGTGCCAATAATTGTGTGGAGATAGAACATAAACGAGCAATTCAGTAAAATACCAACGCAGAAGTGGCACATTCCGTACAGTACCATAGTGGGTTTGAGAAATATCCGGCCACCACAAACACGATCAACCGAATGAAAATTTTTTAGCTGCGTTAGAAACATGGTGTTTTTACTTGATCAACCCAACTCTAGTGGGAACGACCAAATCATATCAGGTAAAACGAGGAAACGAATCAGTGTGAGCATTGCAGATGTCTCTCCTATTGTGAGAACTTGTCAGTAATCTAATCGTCCACTTCGGTAGACACGTCAGGAGTCAGTAGATCAATAGTTCAACATGTTGGCATTGAGAAATTTTGCTAGCATCTGTAAAAATTCCCCTCGATGTAAGTGAAGTTGCAACTTAAGCAATAAACGCGGTTGAAAACATGGCTGCTGGTGAGACGGAATAGTATGTTGAGTGCAGTCAGTTGAAATCAACGAAAAGAGGAAGAACATGGACTGTTTGTGTAGTTTTATTTTATTTTGCAATTTACCACCGGGTCTCCGAAATCTCCGATAATTTGTTGTCCTGTGCTTTGCTTCTAGACCAAGTGTCGATACCACGTACGTGTTTTGTGCTATTCACCGCAGGTCATTTCCGATCTGAACGTCGGTCACCAGGCTTAGTAAACCATGGACGTTTTGGCGAGATGAACAAAGAATCGGTTACTGCACCGTAGGTAGAGGCTTACCTATGTGCACCTACCCCACACACGTGCGTTTCGAACTACCTGCGAAATATATGTGCTGCAAACCGGCCTCAAATCAGGCACGGAAGTGATACGATAGGATATCGATCTTATACATACGACATGTCGGTGGCAAAACAGACTAAGGACGTTCAATACTAAAAAGGATAGCCCAAATCCTGAAGGTAAAGCAAGCTCGGACTAGGAGATCCGAGATTTGTTGTCCAATGTGACATTCTTGCCAACGTTCAAAGCTTCAAAGATTCTTGAAGGTATTCATAAACCGGCTTCAGCTAAAATGAGAGTGAGCACTCTAATGACCGTAAGTTCTTTCTGCTCAGAGACCAAGTGTTTAAGTCTTCCCGTTTGCCAACTATCATTAGTTTTCTGCTAAATTTGAGGAAATCATATCAATCCAATTACTCTCACGACACATCTCAACTGTTTTAGAGCGCCAAGGAACTGTGCATGCGGGTAAGCCTTTTGGTGAACATTTTCATGTTTACTAGTCTCCAAATCTTGTATATAGGAACCGTTGAAATTCCGCGCAAATCCACCCATCTTTTCAGTGCTACAAGACGCTGCAAAAAGTAAGATTCGTCATACCAATTACTTCGTGTTGTTTTCAACTAAGGAAAGCAAACATCCCCAGTCTACTTACTCTCATTAGGCGGTAAGTCTAATCTAAAAATGTTTACTCATCCCACAGTCCCCACTACTTTCCTGCGAGGTAGGTTGGCACTACTTTTTCTACACAGTCTACTGTTTTTATGCCATATATCTATCGCTCAAATGCGACGACGCTCAGTTCATGACGTCCACATGTAAACCATTCGAATCAGGCGTTCTTTTCATCTAAAAATTATCGTCACGTGATTCTCTAACTTTCATGATATTTGCCATAACCCTGACTATAAACGCTAATGAGTTTATAAGGGCTGCCCAATTTTACTAATGTTGAGCATTTTGCTGGATTTCTCATTCAGTTTGTATTGGCATTTCGGATTAATTTGCAGAAGCCCCACTCTACATTTCGGGTGAGTATATAAGTAGGGGAATGCAGAAGGAGGGCTTGAGCAACTCATTGCCGACCACTTCAAATGGTAGAGCAGTGGACCGAAAATATTTTTGGCTAACTGAATTCCACGGTTAACTTCATTATTGTCTATGGTCATTCACCAATTGCAAGATACTTTTCCATCGTTTTGTACGATTATACGTTCAAGTGACACGTCACGTTTATGTGTTTTACTAATATCTATATGGAAAATTCATCCTTGGTGGGAACCGCCATTTTGTCACCTATCTGACAAATTTAGAGCATTTATATAAGCCATTGAAATCCAGTGTCAGGATCACTACAAACGATGCCATCCGCGAATTCGAATTCACTAAATCCTATTGGCGCCGCATGACGTATAAATCCAACAAGATACGATATGTAGAATACTGCGAGCAAACGGATGCATCGCCATAACACGAATATGTGAGCTCCAGTCGAATTGTGACAAACAACAAACAAGCTATTTACATGACAATCGATGCTGAAGTAGGATCGTGACTCTGACATCCCCTCATTGATAAAATCGCTGAGTGAGTAACGAAAATAGTGAAGATGGATTTGGAACTATGTATCCTCCCGGTTCCCTTGAGCACATACCCTTCTTGCTTGTGATTTCTATCACTCAAAGGAATTTTACATTATTGGGCAAATTACGTGAGGATCGTAACATCATGATGTTTGTAGGAATGGGAGCGCCTGAAGCCAAAATTCCACCGGATCTTGAGTTGATCGTAACCACAGCATCCACAGTGTGCGCATCAGCAGTATTGTAGTACTGCACTCTATCCCCGATGTATTCACTAGCCCACGAACTGACTCTTACCTTGTCACATCTACTACTTATTTGGTCTGCTTGCAATCCTGATACCCACAGAAGCAAATTAATGCACCGTTTGCAAAATGATACCACTCATAATGGCCCTGTTAGCAGTTTGTCAACAGCAAGGCTAGCACGGAGAGATGTCCTGAAAAAGGCAATGTCTAGGATGATATTTAGATGGAAAACATGAAACAAGGAAATAAACGACAATTTATTAAGTTCTCTTGACAAAGTCACTACACCAGTTATTTATTTTTTGTTTCCACGACAAATTTTAATCGTTTTATTTGTTTACCTCCGTTTTGAGGCCCATCACGTGAACCCTCAAGTTTAATACTATTCGACCCAGACAATTCAATTTGGAGAAGGACAACATGAGTACAAGGAACTTCCCTGTGATGAAGAAAAATCACACTCGATACTCTGAAGAAAAGCAAGTCAATCGAATTTGGAAACACAAGTATTATGAAAACGCAGTCACGGACCAATTACTTGGAGGCCACATAGCAACGGACACGTTCCCTGATTTTCAAACGTTTGACAGACTGCTTTCGGAAAATTGCTACCTATGGTACCCTCTGATAAAGTTGTCGGTTTTGCGTGGTAGATTAGCCTTGATTACATTCATCATCAGGCTTCGTGACACTCGAGTTGACTTTAAGGCGTTCGAGAAAGACGAGGTTTAGCTCACTGGACTGTTCAATGCCTGCACAGAATGGATATAAAGTAGAGTTTTGGCGAGTTATGTAGGCGACTGGGAGCTAACCTATTTCGGCCAGCACTTGCATCGGCCCATTGATGCGGTTTAGTCCTCGGAACTCATGTCCAGATGTGCAAGTCTGTTTATTGATCAAATTTGTCAAATGCATTAGTGTTTTCCTGCGTGCATGTGGGTGTGTGCCCCTCCTTTGATTCGCTCCGGCCGTGTTGATCTTCCTGGCATTTCTCTTCTGTTCGAGGTAGAACAATCCAACAGAATTTAGCCGGAAGTATCCTCCCTTCAAATAGGCCGTCTTTACGAGGAACTGAGTGGTTTCGCTTGAAATGACTTTAAACAGGTAATCCAATACTTGTCATCCAATGCGCTCCTTTGTTTTACAATACTGGATGCAATCCAATCGTCAGGAGTATCATTTTCCCGAACAATGACATATACTCAACTTGGCTACCCTCGGAATATCACTGAACTGCAGATTTTTTCTTGTTTGTCCGGTGTGTCGATCCATGTGATGTCTCCCATTACTTCTGAGGACGCACTTGTGCGTGGTTCGCGCACGCTGGGCACAGGTGCCTAATGTGCCGCCGTCAAATGTTACCTGGTGGCTTCGGGAGAATCTTAGTGTTCGACCTCTACGTTTTGTGCAGCATCGAACTATATTGCGATAGCAAATGTGCGCACAAGTGAACAAAAGAAATATAATGAAGACTAACAGGAGAGCGGACCAGATTTTCAGACACATCTTTTGCTTCTTGTGGAACCTGCCGCTCTCCCATGTTCTGTCCAATCGCCGTTGATTTTGTCGTCTGCATCACTAGCTCAACTACCGTTGCTCCAAATTCAAACATTAGGAAAGAAATTGTAACCGTCCTTATTAACCGAACATCACATCAATTGGACGCATGGCCCAAGTTCGGTCTACGGACTGAACAAATGCATGTCCTGATTGGTCAGAGTGCCAGCCAATCTGAATCGAGCATCTCAAACTCGACGCTTCTCGCCCCTCACGGAGATTCTGGCACGACGTTGTGGAACACTCTGTGACTACCCTATAAATACAGTTGTAATGAGTTTCCTTTGTCTCCATAAAGGGCTGTGTAAAGCTACCGTGCCTTTTGATATACCATAGTGGGCGGAGCAAGAAGCCAATCACACAGACCAAAACAAGAGAAAAAACGGACCGAAACTTTTTAATTATCCACTCTGATCGATAAGCGCACAATGCACTGTACGAAGTGTGTCTGATATATAGCAAGATGTTCAACATTCAGGTGTTCAACCAGAGTGCGTAGATCCCACTCCATTTTGTTTTCGCGCAGCGAGTGGTAGATGGAAGCCTGGTAAGTTGCCAAATTTCTAGAAGCTTACCCTGTTAAGTATATGCTGACTATACATTGATCCATCCTGCGAAATATTTATGTAATTAACAAAGCTTCTGTCACTGGCTACTCCAACGACGCCATGCAGCCGAAAGAGCAATTAAAATCCGATATGTTCATTTTCGTGTTGCGATTTTGTGATGGTGCCCACCGTATTCACACGATGTTCGAATCTCTTTTGATTTCCAATCCGTGCGAGTTGAGCCTCATTCAGCAAATCGGCTAATCTACCGCTCACGCTGGTCAGCACACTGGATATGTGCTTGTCGATCGCTTGGTACGCTGCCAAAAGAAAGATGCAGCTCGCCGGTAGACTGACAAATGTACTTTTTTGAGTTATGGCAATTTGCGGATAGCAAGCGGGGTGGCGCCGTGTTCGTCTATCAACAAGACGAATCCATCGCCCGACTTCACTGTCTAATATTTTGCCACATTTTAGCTGCTACAAACTTTCCCTAATTATTCGGAATTTGACGAATGTTCAATTTAAAATTCGATTGAGTGAAAAATTGCTTTGCTTAGTAATACAGATGCCTCATGAAACATGCACATGTTTGTCTGAATTCAGCGCACCAAAGTCATTCATGACTGAAGAGAATACCTTTACAGGTTGAAAGGAAGAACCGCGCTAACACAAGTTCTTCACCGAATATCTAGGCTCCACTTTCCAAGACACGTTCTGGCACGTGATTGCAACTTGATCCATTTCATAAAGAAAACTACTCACAAGGTTGCCGAAAACTCTTCGACAGCCCACGACCGGTGTTGCCCTTCTTGAGGCTCATCAGTCAGGCGTAGTCCCCGAGGTTCTGTCAACCTTGGGTTCTACTTGAACCATTTCAAATCAGATTGGCATCGTATTCGGACAGGGTCACACTAAGTTACTGCTTGTGTGCTGCCCGAATTATGAAATCAAATTTCTCAAAGCAGAAAAAAGCAGCTACACGAAAAAATAACCAACGTTCAACCTTCAGCCGTCAGCAGTGTACAACCAGCCCAGGCGATCACTTCCAGGTTGACGGTTGTTTTGAACATCCAGATCAAATGAGAGCGATACATGCCATTTAGTGCGTCACAGCATATTTTATCGATCAGTCGCTCAGCTAATGCAAAATGGATAACGCACCCACGTTCCGTACTAACCTTTAAGTAGCAAGGAACAACGTAGCTGAGTTGTTTGACCCGGTGCATAGGTTGATTACTACTTTTCACCCATCATAAGCAATGTATTACATGGAGAATGCTGACCATCAAAACATGAGGCTTTAGGCTACTGGTTACGATCAAATGATGAGTGCATTGGAGAGCAAAAGAACTTTATGGTTGAGGGATAATCTTGATAAGATCCTGTAACTAGTGTGCGCCCAATCGCAAACCGTCATGCTCTAGTGCACGAGGAGTTGACTTGCCCAGACTCGAATGTCAAATATTTGCATTCGATTTAGAGTTTTCAGGCTTCAAGACAAACTGTCTCAGGCCACGGAGCTCCAGTAGTGTTGTTCAGCCAAAGTTCAAAGTGACGGTCCGGATCACAGAAACCCTGCATCTTCAGCTGATCCGCTGTTCTCATTCTACATTTTT